GGTAATATGGCAACCTATTTTTTGGTTTTTATGACTTTACAATCTTTCTACATTACTATCTTACTTCTCACTTTGACAGATTTCAGATGATTTAAATAGAAGTATACTCTTACCTTTGTATTGTAAATATATAGCAGCAGTTCCACATATTTACACAAAGTTTTACTCGTTAACAAGAATAGATAGGTTTGTAACAATTACACAACTTAGATTTCGGAGTCCACTTCTGAAAGTCAAGTGTAATGAATTGGAAGTGCATTAGGGAAAGTGAGGTGAAATTGTTGAACACCTCGTCTTAAATAGATGCTTAAGAAATTACGTTGGCTTTACACTTTGAATGTAAATATTATATCTGGTAAGGCTTCAGTTTTCTGCAGGAATCTTTTTGATATGTATTTGGCATACAGGCCCTTGAGACATTCAAAACCCTGGTTTTGAAGATACCAACTGCAGAATGACAAAACTCTTTCGAAAATTGGTTCAATTGAATGGAAAAATGTATTGATAATCATCAAAAAAGGTTTATCTACTAAAGGAACAGGAGATTTCCTTATTATCGTGCGGAATGTTACAATTGATATAACACCTATTGGGCATAGAAACCTTTTTGGAATTCAAGACATGATTTAAAATATTATTTACTGCACGTATTGAAATTCTTGGATATTGTAGTAAATCTTTGCATGAAAAATATGATACACTTTGTATGTCGCTTCATTTGTATGGATGTAGCTTGGATCTACCACCATGAGCTTGAGTCGAAGAAGAGGCTAAACAGTGTGAACCCTGTTCTTCGACTTCGAAAGAAATTTATAATAAGTTTAGTAGCTCTGCTGTTTGTGATATCAAAAAAATTTTGTACATTGACTGGTAAAACAAAATAATATACTTAGATTGTTGAAACCAATTAGTTGAAAAAAATCATGAAATAGTTTAAAGTTGGCTAAAAAAAAATTATTTTCAATCAAAATACTACAACTGCTCACACATCTTAAAAAACCATTACTAAAACCAGTTAATTAATGTATAAATTTTTGCTATAAAGATCAACAAAAAGCCTTCACTTTTTGAAAACAAGTTGTGTTCACTGTACTATATTATTAGAATTAGCCGTAATATGTATGACTTTTAAAAAATATCTAAGTTTAACACATATAAAGAAGTAATTCAAAAATAAAAAATAAAAAACCAATTACCTAATATGTATTAATATATATGTGTATATATTGTTACAAATAAAAGTTAAAAATACAAAAAACGCAAATAAGAATAATATCAGCTTAATAATGAAGAACGCGGTTTATATCGTTCATAAAATCTTTAAAGAAATTTTAGAAAAATTTTCCCGCCTAAATGTGGATGCCTACTTACTCTACTAATTATGAGAGTATGCTTTGTGTTCACACTACTTACCATACTTACTTGTGTTTATATCTACACATAAACAACTACATTCAACTATTAATTATTGTAGATTTTTTTATTAATTATTATTTGTTTACGAAGACGTCGTAATAATCAATCCTCATCCATAAAATATCCATAAAATAGAATTAATAATACAGTTATTCCAATAACTAACCTATTAACAGAAAATAATTGTTTATTTAATTAAGACTTAATTGGACAGATATTTGCAATGAAAACACTTATATCAAATTTTATAATAAAAAATTGTTTACTTAATATGTCTACAATGGATTACAGGTTATTGACCTGCCTTATTGAAACAAGTTAGATATACGAAACGAATTATTCTACACAATAATATAAACAATTGATTTTAAACAAAATATTTTCTCGGGAAAAGATATAATTATTTTCATTGCATTTGAATTGCCTGTAATTACTATAGTAATTAGCATGTGGTTTCGTCAAAAAAGTAATATAAAATCTTAAACGCGTCAGTGATTAATCAGTGAATGGGAACGAGTAACAAAACAGATTAATTATACTACGTAAAATTAAAATATTTTCATTAATAAGTAATGTCATTCTCTATAAAAACTTTTTTAATTAAGCAACAAATATTTCTCGTAGTTGGATTGTGAAATTCATATTGTCTTGGAACTGTCACAGTGCTTAAAAATGTAATTAAATAACTTTAAGATAAGAAAATATCACTAAGTTCTTAACACTTCATACATACATCTCTGCAATCTTAATATAATGGAAAGAATACTAGAAATATACTTATGATATGGTTTTATATGGAATAAAAATAAATATTTTAATTTTATTGGTAGTATTTTGAAACACTTTGGTATTACTGTGAGATCCTATTATCACATCATTTATAATAGAAAATTAAATAAACTTTCAATTCTTCATTGAGGTAGATCGTTTCAAAATTGTAGTACCAAATTTTAGTTCTAACATAATATGAAGGTGAGGCATAACTAGCCATAGTCACTAAAAATTTGTGCTGCAATATTGCATAATTGTGCTACATATCAATCTTTGGATACTAAATTTTTAAAACATTATGTTAATTTATACAAAGTGGCAACTCTCAAAAAGTTTATCATCTATTGAATAGCTTAAAGCAGATTTACATGCTTAATTGTATAGCATATCATCAACCAAATTCTTATCTTCTAGTATATTTAAAAAATTCGAAAATTTTTTCTAAAAGCCAGCACTGAATATAAATTATAACAGAGCCTATTGTCAACTGGCTAAATAAGTCGGCTATTCAAAGATGATTGAAAAATCTTCCAACATATTTGCTCTTTTGAACCTCAACCTATTGTTAAAAATTCGCATACGGATTAATGATACTATTGAGGACAATGTTGGGAAAGTAACTTATTCAACTATATCACTTCATTTGCTGGATGAAGTGAAATTGGAGCTCTACTGTCAATCCTATGAAAGGATTTAATTATTGCATAAATTACAATTTCTCTGGATATCATTACTTGCATTGTGATTTTTAGTTGTTGCCTTATCTTCGAGGCATAATCTGCACTCTGTACTAACAGATGATTAAAGTTTATGTAGATGATATTTCAAACCATAATAACCCGTAATGAAACCCGTTAACAACCTTAAATTATCTCCTAAGAATTTAATAATATTTTTGTAGGTGTACGGTTGGATCAGTGTTTTGCTTTGTCTAAATAATGGAAAATTTTTCCAGTACACCAGCCGCAAACCATTCTCTCTCTCCCTCCCTTGTTATTTGTTTTGTTATAATGGCTCAGTTTAACCCACAAAAGGGTTGAGTGTTTGTTAAGTTTTTGATGCAATTCTGATTAGCTCATCAGCTTGTTCATTTCCTAAAACTCCCCTGTGAACTGGAACTCAATAAAGAGTTCACTTATTTCGAGCTGCAAGTAACTGTAGGAGCTTGTAACACTTAAACGTTTGTTTCGATTTGAAAGTCTAAGAAGTTCGTGCTTTAAGATCAGTCTGGCTATCAAAGTAAATAACAATTCTCGAGCCAGACGATTTTTTATTGTTGTTAGATCTCACGCATTAGTTGAATGCGTGAATTTCAGCTTGGAAGCATTACTTCCAAAATTCTGGTATTAAGTCCATATACACTGGCACCGGCGCCTCCATCTATTTTTGATCTGTCTATGTACCAAACTAAGCTTTTTGGGTCAACCTGTAGGCCTCCGGTATCCCACCTTGAACGCGATAGTAGGTTCACCGCATATGTACATATGTAGGTAAGATCTCAATGCGGAGTGCTTATGGGTTTGAACCTCTATTTATAGAATTTTAAATCTTTTAATCTAGATCTTTCTAAATTAGAGTAATTCTTTATATTGTAAGAGTTTATATTTATCATATTGATGTTAATGTGATAATATTTGTTTGCGATCATTACAGCACGTTGTTCTGGTGTTTCATTTTCAATGTTATGTTTTCTACTCTCGACCTATATCAATTGAAGTATTCTAGTGACTAACTATATTTGTTTGTAACTAGTCGCTTTCTTTCAATTTCGAAATATTTATAAAATTGATTATTAATTAAATGTCCTCTTAAATTTATCACCACAGTAAATCTTTTAATACGCTTTACGAGTATGTACTTTCTTTGGTGCCATTTTTATTAATTAATTATTTATTTCTAGTGTCAGTGTACTTGAACGCTTTTAATCTTTCTTAACTCGAGGTATTTTTAAAACCTCTCTTCACGCCTTGACCATTCTGAGATTTGTTAACGCAGTGTTGGTAAGTCTGTCAGTTTTCGCAAATAATTTCAGTGCTCTATCCTTTACGTATTTTTTGATGGGATCAATCTTGAGGTCCCTGAGGATGTTATTCGTCCGAATGTACCATGGTACTTTGAAAAATTTTCTCAGAGCCTGACTTTGTGCAATTTCTAGCTGGCGACAAGTAGTGCTTAAAGCTTTGCTAAACGGTTATATATCAGTTATTTGGTTATATATCAGTTTTCTGTTCTTAGCATTGAGATTTTCACTTCTGAATAATGGTTGGAGGTGGTGAAGAATTTTGGAACAGCTAATTCTTTTCAGTTGAGCATGTTTAAGCCATGTGAATCGGTTGTCCAGCGTGATACCGAGATATTTATATTTATTAATATAATTTTTATTTTATAGGAAGAAATTAATTATAATAATATTTTTATTGAATTATGAAATATTTTATAATCTTGATATTTAAATGAAAGTAATATATAAAATATATAATTTATATAGTTTTCGAGCACATAAAGAAAAGACATATAGAATAATATTTTTTGAGATGTTATTATATATTTATCAATAAATAATTTATAAATCTTTATTTTATTTTTGTTACAGTTTTTCTTTATTAGTTTTTTTGTTGTATTATTATCATTTGTTATTAAAAGATACATAACATCATTATTCCTCTACGACTTATTAGAACAATAAAAAAATTTTATTATTTCATTAGATAGATTTTATGGCTTATAAAAGTTATTCGGAATATAAAGTGCTATAATTAAAAAACAATCATCAATAAAAGTTTAAATGTTTTTATTTTTATTTATATTTTTAGATATGTATTATTACTGGACGCCAATATACTTTCGCCGAATTGCGTGACGCAAGTGCTGCGTTTGCGGTGCGTCTGCAAACAAAGTTCAAACTGGGAAAGAACGACGTACTGGCCATTTGCTTACCCAACTTGCCAGAATATCCAATTGCCGCGCTGGGTGCTATTGAAGCGGGACTAACAGTGACCACAGTGAATCCAATCTACACGGCAGGTGAGTGCAAATAAAAAATTTATCGATGAGACAATTATATTGTCATGGTTGGTAGTTTTCATACAATAATAAACAAATAATTGTAGCCGCAAATGTTAGAAACATTGATGTGTACTTTACATATATGTACATATAGGTACATAAAATTAAATAATCTTTTTTTAAACAAAATACTATGAAAAAAATAATTAGTTCGACAAATAATACTCAAACAATTAAAAACCTATTAAAGCTTCGATTTAAACACCAAACATTTGAGCAAATCCAAAAAAAATTGTTAATTTTATTTTATATATCTATAAAATTATTTTTATTTATGCGTTACTAATATTTTTCCATATGAATTTAATCTAATGCTTGTATATCTTTTATATTTCTTTAACATATATTATTGCAATATAAACGTGTCATAATAATATCAGGTGCTTTGGTCTAATCTTTCGATATCACTTTTACTATAATTTACTATATCTTAGATAAAACGTTCTACTTATCACGCCCACATTGACGCCTAAATTCACTGCGTAATTTATTGATAAGAAGAGCGCGTTTTCTGCGATAAATAATTAATTATTTATTATATTTTAAAGAAATAATTAACCCCCTGCGATAATATTGTCCACTTCACTTAAACTTAAGCACAGAAATGAGTAATTACGTTTCAGTGATAAGTGCTATTTTTGCATTTTCACACTTTTTTTCTAAATCATTTTTGAATTTTTGATAAAAAGCCATTTTTGGACTGAACAAAGTTCATAAAATTAGATTCATTTAATCAAATAATAACTTTATTAGCATATCAATAAAATTAATATAATAGATCTATTTTTTATATACTTAGTTTATATTTTAGTTTAGTAGATAATTTAGATATGAATTTTTTACTACAAACAATTCTAGAAATTAAAGTTCAAAACTCCAAAAATCGAAATATATAAATATATTTAAATATGATATATACTTCTTATATATATAAACATTGTTCAAGGAGTTAAGCTACATCTTAAAAAAAATTTTTTCTTAAAAATTGTTTAATTAAAAATTCTCAAATACTTATTTTCATAAAAAAATTTAATGCCATAAATATGTGGAACCGTAAAATCGTAGATTTAATATTCCACGCAGATGACAACTACAAAGCGCAACCACAATGGCACCAAAGTTTTCCAAGGTTAAATCAACTTAACCTTTGCGGCTGCCTCTTTGGTAACCACAAAGTGGTTGCACGTTTTTACATGGTTGTCATCTGCATGGTGAGATAACTTTCACATAAGTTCTTTATATGGTGCAATCAAAATAAAAATAATAAATTGCATCAAAGGATTCACATCATCATTTACTAAAGTTATTAAGCCAGACTTCAGAAATGTTTTCAGTGCAATGTGAATTAACTTACTACCAGACATTTTTTTTTAGTGTAAATGAAATTCAATACGCTTAATATTTACTAAATTTTTAATTTTATTTGTTTAAAAAGTGTAGTATACTCCTTAAAATCATTCACGCAGTCAATGCTCAACATAGCTTCACTACATACATATACATTAATATAAACAACAATCAACAGGCAACTAATAACAAAAAGAAATAAAAATAATGAAATAAAAAAAAGTGCCACAAATAGCAGTAAAAAATATAAGAAAACAGATTAATAAATGAAGTACCAGTTAACAGCACTAAAAACAAATAATTTTGCAAAACATTTGACCAAACCTTCTGAGTAAAAATTTTTAATGTTAAAAGCAATTAAAAAACAGTCAATAAAGTAACAAAGAAGTACTAACTAACAGCACTAAAAAAGTGGAAATAATTTTACAAAATACTTCTGGCGAAAGTGTCCGTATGCTAAATTTAAATGAAAGTTTTAAAAAAAATATGGTTATTAGTTTTCCATTCAGATAAAGATGATATCTCATATTAATTCTTCAAAATGAATAATCACTAAAATAATGAAATTACTTTAGGGTAGTTGTGAGTTTGTTGTGAGTTCTATTAGAATTACTAATTGATCAAATTCTAAAATATTATCACTAGATGGTGTTGGTGTCCATATACATGGAAACACTAATCCGGGTATGTCAATCGGATACTTGTTTGAAAGGCAACATTTTATGCTAAATTTTTGTGTGAAAACAGGAGTGTAACAGGGTTGATCGTGTGAACAGTTATGTTGATTTGAAAATGAGTGAAAACAATTCGAAACCTTTAGTTATTTTTGATTAAAGGAATTTTAAAAAATATTAAGAGAGAGGAAAAAGAGACAAAGAGGACAAAGAGAGAAAGAGAAAAAAGAGACAAAGAGCACAAAGAGACAAAGAGGAAAAAGAGACAAAGAGGAAAAAGAGTCTAAGAGGAAAAATAAAAAAATACCAGGGATAAAGTGAATATTATTGTAAGAGTGGTGTTGTGTATACATTTAAGTTATAATAGATAATAAAGAAGAGTTAAATAATAATTTAAGAAATTATTTTTAATAAAAGTAACTTAATTGTCAAAATAGATCTAAATAATAGTACACAAAAGAGATATCTATCTCTTTTTCTTTACTAGACACGCTTTTCTTAATTACCACTTTTCATAGATGAGACTTAAGGGCATCGACACCTGTAGATTGTGTAAAATATATAAGTAAACTTTCACCTATATGATTTGTTCATGTCATACGATTGCCAAAAAACAAGTTCAATACATCCCTTCAACTTTTGTTAAAGCGAATGAGATCTAAAAGCCATTGGCGTAATTTATGTAGGTTAATTTCGGAGTCACTTTGCAAAGATAACACAATAGACCCTTCAAGTCAGCACTGTACTATTGTTACTTCTTGTAACGCATACAAAACATTAAAACGAAACACTCTGTGTAGTCAGTGCTGTATCTAAAGTAAAAGGATTAGAAAAATAGAACTCTTCCCCTCTTTGATTATGTTATCCCCTCATTATTCAGTGTAAAAACTCTGCCACGAAAATATTTTCCAGTATATTGATAATATAATCTACCAATAACTGAAGATCTGGAGGCACCCAGTATATTTTCCAGTATATTTCTCTACTTCGTTCAATCTTATGTGCAAAAGTTAAGACACATTTTAGACCCTTTAGACACTATAGCGTGGTTTCTGTAATTGGACGGAATTAAAAACAAAGAAGCTATACTTAAATTTGAAAATTATTTATTGTGTTCTGTTTATTTCCTTAATCAGGAAACTGGAAATTTCTTCTTGGAAAAATAATTTTCTTACTAAATTTTCCAAATTTTGTATTGTCAATATATTTGAATTGTAATCCAGCTTACTGTGATTATTGAGAATGTCGACAGCTACAACACCATTGATAATTTATATACAAGTTCGTGGATGAATTTTTCGACTAACTCCATAATATCAATAGTCTAGAAATCGATTTATAAGTGAGCATGGCCTTCCTCGTTTTTCATTAATACATATATATAACGATGAAATGAGTAAGGTTTTCTAATATATATATTTACATTTATATTATATGTTTTATTATGCTATTAATATATATTATTATTATATATCAATAAGAATAACAAGTAATAAACAATATTCATATTTTAATAAAATTCCTTTTTTTTTAAATTTTGAACTTTTTTTTTTGATTTTAATTAAATAATTAACATTAAAACCTTACAAAATTGTTGTTTTGTTTTTTTCTCTTCACTTCACAATATAAAACCTGACCTATCCAATCCAAAAAAAATTATTAAAATAAATTCGTCGAAAAGTTTCGTTTTACTTGAGTTCAGTAGTAGTGTACATAAATAAATCATAAGTCGCACTTTGGACTTTGGTCAAGGCAATTTCGGTCGGAAGCTCAATTGACTTGCTCAATGAAATAGAAGCGAATCTGCATTTATTAACTTAAAAATTAAGTAAACAAAAATTGGACTTTCACCGATACTCAAACTCTCATAAAATACAGAAATTGTCAGTTAATTACAAACTGTCATTTTTCATGAATGATTTCATAGCTTTTATGAGAAAACCACGAAAGTTTTTTGCCTGAGATAGTAATTGACTGAGATCGTATGAGAATCAGATGAGACTTTTTGATACACTATATCAGATACAAGCAATCATGGAAACTGTTAAGTACAGTATATACTCAGTACTTTAATTACTGTTTTATCTTCTAGGTGACTATATACCTATATAAATTTCAATAACGAGTTTCAATATGAATTGGAATTTATACCTATAAGGATATTAAAAAGATATAGTGTACCTATTCCTTACTACATACAATGTAAGAACATTGACAATGACGTACCCAAAATCTAAACATACATAAGTAAAGTTACAACATGAGTTTCTTATTTTTCGGGATAGCGAACTATATTTGGTTCGAGCTTAAATATATATTATTTATATATTATTTATATATTAAATATATATTAAATATATATTTTTATTCTATTATATTTTTTGTTCTGTGAGTAGCTGACTTTGGCATCCAGAAGAAATAAGTGTTTAGGGAGGTATTTCTTTGACAGCTTATCAGATTATATAATGATAAAGACCTCTTTAATTATCTAAATTCCACGGTATAGATTTAGTCTGTATTCTTCTGTCTCAGGAATTTTTGCGAAGAATGTGGTAGTAAACCGGCTAAGAATCGGTAACTGAGGTACAGGGAAACTTATCTGTTGGCCGGCCACTGCTACCAATCAACCAACCATATACATTTTTTTAAATGTTTTTTTTTCTTTTTGTTTTCTTTTTATTTCCTTAGCACCTTTAAATTCCCACATAATGTATCTTTTCCTAAAATGTATTAATATCACATTCGAATTGGATGATACAAAAAAAAAATCTGAAGTTACTGTTGACCAGATAATATCTATCTTGGTAATCATGGTACTCATAATATATACCCTTCGAAGATTCACTGACAGAATCCATATGCAATTACCAAAAACTGTTGTGCAATTATTGAAAACCACTAATGAATCTAAGTGACTTATTTAAATAATAAGAATCAGTCTCTTGACAAGTAATTGGTTTATGTAAAAAACTTTCAAATACCATGCCTCCTAAGTTTTTTGTAATCAATTCATATTCCCGATTTCAAGTTACCTGCATAGATCAGGACAATTATTCAAGGAAGGCATTTCTAATATTTGTACAGATTTCACCAGCCAAATTCATTTACTCTATAAAAGTCTATTATCGTTATATTCAATACCTGGGTCCAACTCTCAAAAAGCACGTTTGTTTAATATTCTACATATCCTATGATATTTCTTTCATTAATTGTTTCTCTCTTTATTCTCATCCACTACATCCTATTTATTTCTTTTGCTTTAACATATCTAACTGTCTCTTTTTTTATTTCCCCTTTCTCTTTTTTTATTTCTCCTTTCTCTTTTTTGGTTTTTTTATATCCTTTGCCTCTCGTTATTTTTTTCTCTCGTTTATGCTCTTGTTATACATTGAAAATAAAATGACTTTTGCTTCACATTATTCCAGAGGAAATTGCCCGTCAACTCAACTTTAGCGATGCAAAGTTCGTAGTTGGTATATCATCCAACTATGACATCATTAAAGATGCCTGCAAACGAGCACAGAAAGACATTCCAATCGCTTGCATACGCATGCGTCCTGCTGAAGACTTGCCCGCTGGTGCTATTGATTTCTTTGAATTAATTAAAACCAGTGAAGTAGACTATAGTCTACTAAAGAACTATAATGTTAAGGGCAGCGATATGGTATTTTTGCCCTTCTCATCTGGTACAACAGGTTTACCGAAAGGTGTTATGCTAACACATAATAATATCACTGCGAATTGTGAACAAATACAGAGACCACTAACGATTGATGCGAGAGGCAAGACAGTGCCTGCAATACTGCCCTTCTTTCACATATACGGATTGACAGTTATAATGCTGTCGAAATTGGGCGAAGGTGCTAAGCTTGTTACAATGCCACAATTTAAACCGGAAGATTTGATGAAATCACTATTTGAGTACAAAGCCAGCATTTTGAATTTAGTTCCACCGATCGGTAAAGCATATAATTACCAAAAATATGAAGAATTTTTTAATAGTATTTTTCTTACAGCGCTTTTCATGATCAATCATCCAAAGGTGACTAGAGAAACTGCTCCTGAACTGGAATTTGTTATGTCGGGAGCAGCACCAATTGGTATTAGTGATGTAGAACGTTTTATAAAAAAGTAAGTGCATATATTTAAAACGAAAAATGTTTCAAATTTATTAAAATTTTTTCATTAACAGATTCCCAAACACTAAATTCCTTCAGGGCTTTGGTATGACTGAATCTTCACCAGTTGTGCTACTTACTCCAGAGACTAATACACGCTATGCTTCAACTGGTTTTTTGACTGGCAGTACTGAAGCTAAAATTGTAGCATTAGATGGAACTGATGCTAAAGGTATGGGTCCTAACTCTACCGGTGAATTATGTGTACGTGGCCCACAAGTTATGTCAGGATATCTGAATAATGAAGAAGCTACTAGAGATACATTCTATCCAAATGGTTGGTTACGTACGGGTGATGTTGCTCATTTCGATGACGATGGTTATTTCTACATTACGGATCGTATGAAGGAACTAATCAAAGTGAAAGGATTCCAAGTACCACCTGCTGAGTTAGAAGCGATACTGAGAGATCATCCCAAAATTACAGAAGCGGCGGTATTTGGCATACCACATGATTTAAATGGTGAGGCGCCTAGAGCCTTAGTCACGCTTAAGCCTGGATGTGAAGCTACGGAGCAGGAAATTTACGATTACATAGCCGAACGTGTGGCTGTGTACAAAAAACTGGAGGGTGGGGTTATATTTGCTCAGGAAATCCCAAAAAATCCAACGGGCAAAATTTTACGAAAAGTATTGAAGGAGAAATACTCGAGTTAATTTATGGCGACTGAACGGGGTTTTTTCGTTGCCAGCTTCGGACTGAGTTTAAAATTTTTAATGATTAATGTTTAATGTTTACTGTTTTTTATAATTGTTTTTTATTGCCTATTGACTAACTCGACGTGATGTGCTGAACATTTCCTTATATTTTGTCTTTTATTATCACAACACTAACAACTTATCAACAATTGACCTGAGTAATATTAATATTAATGATTAGAGATTAATAATAGTTTATTAATTAGCTTATACGAGAATGTTTGTAATTATATATTTTAAGCTTAAAAAAGTGTATGTAACAAGAAAAGAATTTTTAAAAATGCATTTAAAATTTTAGTAAAATTAAGGAATGAGAAATCTGTAAATTATTCATTACAAATTTTGTGAAAAACTGTGTATTATAATTATATATAATAAATGTATTTTATATATATACTAAATAAATAAAAGTTGGTTTAAAAAATTAATTTTATACATTTTTCGTTTCTTAACTTACCACGACCACGGATCCACAAAGGCCCCATGAGATCCATTTTTGGTACTATAAGTTTAAGCATACCATTTAAACAGCAATTTATTTAATATGAGCACAGGAATAAAAAGTAAGACGTGGATGAAAAAGTTCCAGACAAATTAAAAAACGAAGAAAGAGTTTTTACTCATATCTTAGTTTATGAGTTGAGGACTAAAATAGAAATGGAAATGGTTTACTATGGAGATGGAATTGCAGATCCTATGAAATTTCACTAAGAGTCTTCCATCGTGAAATTAGTTATTATTTTATTTTTAAGATAAATTACTTGATTTATTGATTTAACAAATCAATTAACACAAAATCGGCGCGATTCCAAACACCAAGAATAGTTCAGATCTTAGAAAAGACAAATACTTCGAACCATATTTTTTATTTTGCTATATATCAATAAATCAATAAATAATTTCCACGATATCGGACTTTATATATGAAAACTGTTTAATGAGAGCAAACAACAAATCGGAATGGTCGAGAAATTAGAATTGCTTCTAATTCAATTAAATTTAATATACATAAAAGTTTTAAGTACCTTTAACAGCCATAATTTGAGTTTTTCAAGTGGATGTAAGATAGCAATTGTTTGTTTCGAAGCTTACTGATTCAAGTGTTGAGATCAAACATTATTTGAATTTTTCAAGTAGTTATGCAGCAAAACATATTTAATCCAGAGTCACTCATGTCTGAGAATAATATTAAACACCTTTTTTTAAATTTACTTTAACGAAATTTTCCTTAAGTAGAAACGATGAGGATTACACTTGGTGTAAGAACAATAATTGATCTAATCATAGATCAATTTTAGCAGCCACGGCTGCTTAAATCCGACATAGCCTATTATGGTCTGACAAAACTCTTGACAGACTATACATCGACTATAGTATTTTATAAAGACATTCAAATTACCGCTGTATAGGATAATAGTCCTACTAGTACTCACATATTGATCTGAGAGTTGAGTGTTTAACAAAAAACGTAAACTCTGATCCCCTTTTCGCATTTGAGAGAAAAATTCTATAAAGAATTGTAGCTTCATATATGAGGAAAGTACTTTCTGTCAACAAACAGAAAGTACTCTGTTAACAATTATAAGATCGAAGTTGTGAAAGATTTTGTTTATTCGGGAACCAGCGTAAATACCAAAAATAATGTAAGCCTAAAGATACAACAAAGAATCACTCTTGCCAACTTACTGGTTACTTCGGGCTAAATAGGCAATTTAAAAATAAAAAGCACTCTATCGATAAAGGAAAACCACACTGTCTTAGTCCCTTATCACGCCTGTGCTGCTGGATAGCGCGGAAACTTTGATATTTATTAACAGTAATGAGAATAATGAGGCGTTAGAAGTATACGAGAAAAAATTCTTCGGAAGATCTATGGTCCCTCTATGATGCCTGGCAACGAGTGTCGATTTAGATGGAACCAAGTTAAGCGCATAAAAATTCAGTGACTTCGCTGGTTTGGTCATGTCGTGCGAATAGAATGAAGTACTCCTACTAGAAAATTGTTCGATTCGGTAGCCGCAGATAGAGTAGTAGTAGAGTTCGCCCGCATCTTCGATGGATGTACCAGATGATGAACGATCTGGTGGCTCTCGGACTATCAACTGGTAACAGTAAATCTTTAATCAGGTTAACGAATAGAGGCAACGTTATAGCTACAAATTATACGCAATTTACCTCAAAGCAAAAGTAATTATTAAAATTAAGCTCTCTAGACTCCGGTAAACGGTTTATGTACCTCGTACCAATGAAGAGAAACCTATTTGAAATGTACTTTGTACCAGATTTTATGGCATGAAGCAACTATACAGACCATGTTTCATAGACTTTTTCAAACTGTGAATCACAACGGCTACCAATAGCCACCGATGACAAAACGAATGATGAAGATGAAATAATACCTATACAACAACATATTTTTATTATTAAAATCAATGATTAAATCATTACACTATTACCCACTAAACCTCTGGCTATTTATAGAACTTTCTAATAAGCATAATATGATATACCATAATAGTGCAACGAAGCATTTTAATACTACCTAAAAACACTATTTTTAGTTAAATGAACAATAACTGTGATTGATGTGTGTTACGGAATGTTTTATAGCTCTTGGCATCTCCTTTGATGCCTTCAGTAACGATAACCTTATTATTATTTTTCAGTTCTACGTTTTTAAGGTAACAATAATAATTATTTTTGCGTTTTAAAATAAGAACCGAATGTATGATTTATACATATGTGTGTGAAAAAATTGAAGACAAAACAAATAATTATTTTATTAAAAAAATATATATGAAGTGACTTTAATTATTTTTTGAGTATTATATATAAAAAGAGGATCTAAATTATTCTTAAATTATTTGTGCGTGAAAAAATTAAAAACGTGATATATGACAAATTTAATTATTAATTTTTGAGTTTTATATAAAACGGAGAATATATATGCATATATATATAATATTACATGGTTTTTTCTTGAACGCTGTCGAAAAAACTTTATTCTTTATTATTTTATAATAAGTTTACTAACAACACGAAATTTGTTTCTTTAAAAATAAAGATATGTTTATTGATCGTTTTGAACCCCAATTGTTAAACGTTAATCTCTTTTTTGCTGAAGAACTAGATTTTTAGCCACAAAACAGGTTGTAGCTTTAAACTTAACAATTCAAAATTAACCTCAAACCTTTTAAAAGAAACCTAAAAAAAATAATTTAATTTTTCTAGCACAGTTTAATTACTTTAAGTATATTAAATAATTCAAATTATTTAAATAAAAATAATGGCTTCAATTTTTAAATTTCAACGTTGCCATCTTTCTTTAACTTTGTCATTAAGAAATGAATAATATTCTTCTTTGGCAATGCTCTACACCGTTTGTAGTCAACACACTCACCCGAAATAAACATGCTATAATATCACCACATTCGCTGTTCTGGTTTATGTCTTGACTGCAAGAATTATACCATATTTCACTATAAATTTGTGTGCATATTCGAGCAAAGACCACAACCAATATTTGACTAATTGGTGGCGCTCCGAATGTAGTTGACCAACTACAGTTTTATGCACGCCTGATATCGGAGCACAAGTTAGCTAATTTTTTAAACGTGAGCAAACTGTTCAGACACATTGTGCAACCACGACGAACATAACCAACTCATGGCGTTCAATACTCGAACTTCTGCTCAAACGCACCGCATCGCACCACAAATAAATGAAAGGAAGAAAGGAGGAAACACTTTTCTTAAGGATGCACCTCAGAGTGTACCCATTTTTTATCAGGGAATGGTAATGAATAAACATAAAATTATTGATTCATTCCTTAAGTAATTGATTTTCTTTTAATATTTTTTTTTAATTAAATTTTTCATTAAAAAAATTGAAATAAGAAATATACATTATTTATATATAATAATATTCGACTAGTTCATTATTGTCAAACCTCTTCCATTCTTCACTCACTAGAGTTTGCGATAGCGCAAGTTATTTACTTCAAGTAAATGAGTTAATTTAAAGTTAAAAAAAATGAGCATTGCCATAGACGGCTAACTTTTTGAGGGCGGTACTCTTTATGACCATTATGTATTTAATGTGTATTTCCACTGCCTTCGTTAGACCAGTTAACTGACTTCAGATTACTGGAATTACTTGAATCTCAAATAAGTTAACTGATCTAACGAAGTCAATGGTAAGGTACTATAAGGTACTTTTTTATAATGAAATCGTATGTAAGCAATTTAAAACCACAAACGGTTGTTGAAATGACGAATGTATTATCCAGAGATGACAAAATTTTTTGGACGCTACCAACAGTGGAATATAGTACATTCTCTAAGCACTATAAAAGCATTAATCCAAATGTTTCCATAAACTATAACTCAGTGACAAGTATAGGCAAAATATTATATATATTGAACACCAGATTTTATAATATTATTTATATAATTATTTTACAAAAAATTTTTATGAGCACTAGTACCAAAAACGTGAAGAAAATCACACCATTATGTTTACATCTTTAAAATTTGTATCAAATTAGCTCTTAGATGAACATGTATATGAAATCTTATTACTTACATAGCTATTGTATAGCAAAATAAAAAAGTGCTAAAAAGTAGCGTATATGTGCTCCGAAGTATCAGTCTTTTTCAGATGCAGAAATTAAGTGCTGATTTCGTTTATCGAATTCAAATAATTCATAATTCAGATGTCGATTTACGTAAAATTACTTAGAGCCTTTAAGCTGTTATATTCAGATACTTGTTCATTTATTAGGTGATCTACTTGATTTTAACATTTTAAAAGAAATTATGAAAGTTATTAATACTTTTCATCGACATATATAACAGCTGCATGTTAGTAGAATAAAAAAAAACGATATATATTATTTATATACTTTACTAATAAATTTACAGACGATTTGCTTTTACAAAAAAATATTAGTAAGATAAAGAAATATGTGTTTAATTCTGAGTGGAAACTTAACAACAGTACCCAACTTATAAGCTAATAATCTAATATAGGTCTAGATTCTCTATAAGAATCTAATACAAATCTACTGACAGTTAGCTAAAGTTATAAGATCCTTGCCTTAGTAACACAACTTTTAATCCTTCGTAATACAAATCAACTTATACTCGTATAGACAAAGATCTATAACATGTGAGAGAGAATTAGTGGGTGATCAAGTAATTCAAACTACAGATAACTTATAAACGTATAGGTGTCAAACACTATACGAAATAAGAGTTTACTAAATTTTGAAATTGTGAAAATAAATTGTGGAAGGATCAAGTGACGATCCGACGGTCATATTTCAAAATTTTAATGTACAATTATTTTGCATGACGTTGCAAACTTATATATAAGCTGTAAGATATAGCTTCAAACTACTTTAGTGTTAAAGCGAAACCAACTCTTTTTTTATTGTTTTTATCCATTTGCAGAAAGGTATTCAGGGACGGATTAAAGCAAAGATCCACTTCTACTTGATTCAAAAATACTGCCAAAAAATATTCTTGAGTATATATCCCTCCCTTTCCAACTTCGTATACAAAAATAGCAGATTTCTATATTCCCATCGAAGAAATGGTATACCTGTGATGATAAAGTTAATATACATATGTGGATGTTTGAATTATGTGTGCTTGATTGAGTTTGAATGCAAACTTCAGCACTTAGCAATATGTCGGCAAATCACTGAAGAGATGGGCTTGTAGTCACAGAAATAGTTATATGCCTTTGCTGGTGACAAAGCTGTAGTCTGTTGAGTTCAAGTAGTGTCTGGAGATTTGCACATCAAATAAAGATTAATCAAATGTAATGCGTATATGTCTGTCATTAGATTCTCTGTTGTGGCTCTGTCGTCTGAAAAGACAAATACCGCCCGCCCACTTTTGGAACTACTTTTGGATCTTCGCTTTTAATGTTTCATCCATTTAATAAATGTAAGATAATCTTTTCTTGCTTGTCAAACTCATAGTTATAAATAAAAATATTTTTTTATGTAAATTGTATTTCATATAATTTTAATTATACATAATTTTTTATTTAAATTTACATACGCTAAAACAATATATTTTTTCATACCATTTTATTTTTTTCTTTTTTATTTTGTTTTATTTTTATTTTTATATAAATTAAACAAATTTCTTTAAATTTTAATATATATCCTAATTACACAAAAAATTATATATTTCACAATTTAACATTTCTATATTTTTGTTTTTAATTTTTTATATAATTTTATTTTCATTTTTGTCTATTTTTATATATATGTTTATGTATATATAAATTATTTCCATACACTATTTGAAGTATATTTAGTTTCATCATTGAACTTCATTTGTTCAGTTTCAAGGATTTTCTTGACATTTATTAATTTTTTTTTTTTTTGAGTGCTGTAGACTTACTGCACTATAAGAATTATCCTCGATTTTTATCATATTCAATAAAAACATATTAAGAAATGTTTAACAAAATTTTAATTTCTAAAACATAAAAAAAATGAACGATTCGTTTGCTAAAGACTTAAATTGCTTTTATTTTTCTATTTAATCAGGCGTAGGCAATTTATTTTTTTACAAATATTTTTGACTTAATTTTATATTGCATTTTGCTGGTGTTTTTATAAATTTTTATAAATTTTGTTTTTTTCTTTTGTATATATAATTTATATGATTGGCATTTGTTTCTTTGTTTATTTGTATTTTGTAATTTACAAGCATTTTTCTTTGTTATTTTTTTCTGAATTTCATAAGCTGGTTTTTTTTTAAATATTTATTTTGAAGATTTTTCTAAAGTTTAAATTAAAACATCTTCTCCAATTAATTCAATTTTTATTTTTTTTTATAAAACAAAAATTTGTTATTAACTTTATGGTTGAAATTTTTGTTGGAACAAATATTAACACAAACTATAACAAATAAAAAAATAAATAAAAAAGTAAAAAAAATAAAAAAAAATTAAAAAAGAATACAAATAAAAAAAAAAGTAAAAAAAGAATAAAAATAAATATACAAAAAAAAGGAAAATATAATAGAAAAAAAATCAATTATTAAAATTTCTTATTATTTTAATTATGTTTTAAAATTAACTAAAAAATTTGTTTGTTATTATAAAACATTTTATACTTCCATACTTCCAGTATAACTAATTAATATATTAAAGAATCTAATTATTTATAATTGATGAGAAACTGAAAGAATAAAATATAAAAAAATAATAATACACTTTTAAGACTCATTTCAATTTGTTTTTGCTTTCAATTTTATATATTTTTTATTTTTATATTTACAAATTCATATTTTATAACATTTATAAATATTTATGAAAACAATTTATTAATATTAATTTCATTTTTCAAATTCCCTTTAATATTTATTTTTGTTTTTTGTTATTTTTCTTTTTAACGCCCAAATCAACAAATTCTTTAATTTTATTAATTTTTTACCATAAAGTATTTGTTTTTTATTTTTATTTTTTATTTTACATATGAAAATTTTGTTTATTTAAATATTACCCTAATTCATCCATTAAAGACATTTTTTAATTATTTATATTAAATTATTGATTTATTTTTTTAATTTTGTGTTAGCTCTTATTTATTCCTTTAACTAAACTAAATTTAACAAATTATGACTCGTCACGATTATTATGCACCCAACTCGCTGGCACCCATTGTGGTTCACGTTCCAGAGAATTGATTTCGGCCAAAAGTTGATGATACGCACGTTCCGTATCATTATTGATGATTATCATATCGAATAAGTGACCCCAACGTGCCTCCATATCACGAGCGGTTGCAATAATATCTTTAAGCTCTTCTTCCTGTAAATGGTAGAGGAGAATAAATAATACTGATATTAGTATTCTTCGAAAAGAATTATTTTTGTTTTTAAATAATTTTTTAATTTAATAAATCTTTAAACATTTCTAGCGACTATTGATTTCTATACAACAAGAACTGTACTGGCTCAATTGAGATCAGGATATAGCCGAGCACTTGTCATGCATAAGCACGTCTATTTCTAAAGTGTGCCCATGTTGCAGCTCTATTCCATATGACGTTACCCATCTGTTCTCATATTCTACCACGCACATAAACCTACGTCCAATCGACCTTTGCACCCACCCCATTGAAGTGGCTGGCCATGTTTCTCCTTCTATACACGCATTCATCTTCGATTTAAATCCCACATACACCAACCAACTCATTATCCCCATTTTCTCCTCCCCCAGCTTCAACATAAACATATCCACTTTCTTACTCAAGTAATCGTTTTGTAAATCTTTTCATGTTGTCTGTTTACAGATCTCAGCGGGCTACAATAACAACAAGAAGACCCCACTGATGACAAATATTCATATATACACGAATATATATACAACTCTATTGAGACAGTTGTATAGTCAGTTGTATAGACAGATATCTTGTTTTTCAAAACAACTATATGGTTGACCCAAGAATCACTTGAATGAAAATAAAAAAAAACGTTTTAAATTTCGAAATTTTGTCTCTACTACTCCCCTTTTCTATTTCAAATGGATTTTCTATCATTCAACATAGAATTCTTAATTATAAAACAATAATAATTTATTTTCCACTTTATTTTGTTGTTAAAACTCACCTTAAATGGTTCACCATTTCTAAGTTTCTTTTGTCTTAATTTATCTAAACTTGGTGGCGCTACCAATACAACGTAAGGTTTCAAATCGGAAGCCCGTAGCAGTTTTAAACTCTGTGGATGTAAGTTCAAAACACAAATTTTACCACTAGCGACAACTGTTCTTATAGCTTCAAGTGATGTGCCTATTTGGAAAAAATAACTTGATTAAATTTTAATTTTCTTTTAGTAGATAATTTTTTGAACTCACCATAGTAAGCCTTTTCATATTCACCATGCTCAACAAAACGACGCGCCAATATATCTGCTTCGAATGCTTGTCTAGTAATGAAGTGATAATCGACGCCTGGCACTTCTCCCTCACGACGTGCTCGAGAAGTATCTATTAAAAATGTATAGAAAAAAAGCATAAATTTTGTAGAATAATAACTGAAATGTAAATTTAATAAAAATCAGGAATGATTAGTAATTATAAGCTATTGAGAGAATTACAAGTCATATACATAAAGAAATTCATTACCAAATAAATTTTATAATGATTTTAGTATCAGAAATGTAGCTACTTGAAGACACAATAATTTTACTATAAAAATGATAATAATGAATATAAATAATGCAACAACTCTAACTTTTCAAACAATTGTGTATTTCGAACTTTTTCGAACTTAAACTCATACGCTTAATGCTACCACAAACGACATATGTTATTGCTCCAAATTTTCTTATTATCACTAGCTTCTATTTACGGTCTATCTCATATATCTCATTGACATCTACCTCGCACATGGTACTGGTGTTTTAAAAAACGGTTTGCTCACCTTTCATTCTATTTGAACGATTATATAATGAAGATAAAACCATGGTTGTTTTCCAAAAGAAGTTCGAAAAGAAGTTCAATAATTTTCTATTTTTAACTCACCATTTGAACTATATTTGCATGTTTTTAATGATACATTACGTATAATGCATTCATAATATATACGAATATATGGCAGCGTGGTCACACTGACAAAATTCGAACAATATAATAACCTCACAATAGTGAGAAAAGATAACCAGACGATGCCATTTCAACGACAGTTCGATGATGAATTCATAGAAGTCAGACGTTTTGCACATCGCATGTCATATCATACCGTATTTTGCGTACGGTATTAACCGATTTTTTATCAAATGAAACAAGTATTGAGAACATTTTTATCTTCGAAAATTTTATTCTATTAAAATATTTAGTAAAATTTATAACGATCATGATTTTTCATAAATACATTATTTTTTAACAATGTGAACGAATATTGGTTAATTAATTTTTCTTTCAAAAAGATTTTTCGAAATCGTGTTTGATCATGAATATAATTTTCGAACATATCGATTAAATATTTTACAAATATCATCGCGACCAAAATACAAAGAACATAGAACATAGAATATTGTATTGCATTCTATAATGGAATATAAAATCTCTTTAAAAACTTTGACGAAATATTCTGTAAGGTATTTGAACCCTAATTATTCGAAGTTTTAAGAAGAATCACTTATAAAAAAAATACGCAGTCAACAAATTAAATTTCGAATATAAGACAATAGAAAATAGTATCCTTTAAACTTTGAACAATTACACTCTTTAAACATTACTTTTCGAAAATTATTGTGATTAAAAAAAATAACAAGGTATTACTAGAGGTAGAACGTTTTATCTTTTTTAACAAATCAATAAAAATAAATTTATTTCAAATCGTTATTATTTAAATAAAAAAACCAAATACTTATTTTTTTTTTGTATAATATGAAAAAACCTTTTTCGAATAATGCCCTAATTTTTTGAACTGAATAGAGTATTCTTAAATACATTGTCGAATATTTACTCTCTACTATAATTCAATTGAATCATTTTATTTAATAAATGTTAAAAAAAAAAACATTCCACAATAACTCTTGCAATAATAGGAAATGATTATTCGAACAAATCAATCAATCTCTTCACAATCGTTTTTAATGCGAAGAACTTTTTCGAACATTATATTTAAAAATCAATTTTTTTTAAACTTATTTATAGTTTTCGAACAACCTATCTTTTAGATCGATAAAATTATATTGTATAAGTTTGTAATCTTCTAGTACAATAGGGTAGATCCAGTCATTTTCTATGGACATTTCATTTGCACTATAATTTCATACTTTTCGAAAATGTAAAAGATTTCATTCTTCTTCTAATACAATAGTCTGGATCCAATCACTTTCTCTGAATATTTCCTTTAAATTATGATTCCATACTTCTCAAAAATGCAAAAAATTTATATAATACACGTTATTATAAAAATGAAACCTAAGAGCAGCCATTATATATTATATTTCAAATTTAATACTTTCTAGAAATATGGCATATCAATTATAGTTTAATGAGAAATCAAGCCCAACATATAAAAAAGCAAATTCCTTTGTTACCCTTTTTAAGTTTTTCCTCAAATAAATAGAAAACTAAAAAAAGGAAAGTAAAAAGGAAAAATTTTAGTAAAGCATGACAATTAAAATTGAATATTCTAGTCCTTACAGAATACGACATTCAAATGAATTCTAAGATGTAAATTAATAATCATCTAGCAAACAGATAATGACTTCTGAGCTAAAATTCTCTATATTCTGAATATAATCCATTTATTCCAAATATCCATACATCCAACAAAACAAGTCACTATTGATTCTAGTTCTATTAATTCTAAAACTCGGTGCTTAGTACTTACGTGGCACTGCAGCTGAAAATCGTTCTGAATCAGCCATCAAACGTTGACGCAATTCGTGGCGACCAATGTTGGGTGGTCCAATTAGTACAATTGGACGTTTGTGTGTGGCACGTGGATAGTATAAAGCGACTTCCTCATATGTTAAAATTTCTTCGGGATCAGTTTCATCCGGTGCTGTTGTCGCATATAAAGGATAACTAAAAACACCGAGTAAGAATATGTTATATCTATGTCCTAGAACGCATATTAATCAACAAAAAAACTTACCCCGCCTCAGAACTGGCCTTCTTCTTTTTCTTTCGTCCTTTTCGTGCACACAATAACGTAGCGCCCTTACTACTATCCTTCCCACGATTACGCGCCAGACCGGCTTCTTCAGCAATGGCCAGTTTCATTGTTTCACGCTGATGTTGAAACGATTGACTAGGTATGAGGCCGGCTAGCGTTTGATCTTCTTCACCCTCACGATACGCTTGCCACCAGTTTGGATCATCACGTGATATAACATGCAGGACATCACCTTTCTGAAAACTGATGCCCAACTCCCGACATGGTATATACAAATCATCTTCTGGATCATAATCGAAATGAGCGCGCACATGTAGCACAGCATTTTCACGATGACCACCACCAGGTGGTGGACTACCAGCTGGTACAATCAAGAAAGTTAATGTTCCTTGCATAGCGCCCAGTAGTGCACACACTTCGTTCACTGTTTTGCCACGCAATTCTTGACCATTTACTTCGAGTATTTCATCACCTTCATGCAGTAGACCAGATTTTTCAGCGGCACCACCGCGTACTATACGTCCAATAACCACCGCCTCACCTTCATTACGCACTGTGGCACCGAGTGGTTCTGTTGACTTTTCGATTTGTATAATCCGTATATTGGTTGTATCGTTTTGATCGTTTAGCGTGCCAAAACAGGCACTTAGTGGCGGTGAGTCAGGTCGCATTGAGGAGGTCTTCATATAACCTGCTGGAAGTTGATTTGTGATGTTTTGTGGTAAAGGCATGGCACTACGTTGCGCCATTGGTGGTGGCACTACCGGTGGAGCTACTGCTGTGCCACGTACAATTGCTGGTTTTGGTAGTGACGCTGTTACTGCAGTCGCTGCGGTTATTTGCGGACTACCTGTACCGCTTAATAGCGGTGAAGGCGTTGCATCTGTTAATGTGGCTACACGATCATGCGCTAATAAGAGTCCTTCCATTTCATAACTGGTTAACAAATTTCCTAACTCTATGGCCGTTGGTGAATTCGATTGAGCTAGAAACTCTACGATATCCTTTTGCAAATCAATGGCTCCAGTACTCACTGGATTAGCAACACGTGGTCTACGACGTTGTAGTACTGCTGTACGTGCTGCCAAAGCATGCGCCACACCAGAACCGGCCAAAATATTGTGGGCTGTCGACACTCGACCAGCAAGTGTTGACATACCATTTTTGGAGAGCTGACCCTGGAGTCTTGTTAGTGCACTTAAAAGTTCGCCATACCCTGTAAATAAATTTAAATTTGTTAATTATTCATTTTAATAACAATTAATTTAAAATTAATAAGATATTATAATGATTCATTAAGAAACAAATTTGTTTATATTATAATGTATTATTATTGTGGCGAGGAAATAAAAATATAACAATTGAAAAATAATAAACAACAATGCATTAATAATTTTATGATAAATAATTAATGAGTAATAAAAATTTAATTATTGATGCAGATGTTTATAATAATTGTAATAATTATTTAAATAATAAAAAAATCATTCAATATATAGTTGATTGGCGTGATATACAATATATCACTCAATTTATATCACAAAAACTGCTAAGAGGAGGAGGATGATACAATATCTCTAATTTGTTGTGTAAATCCCAACCTTAGCAGGACAACGCTTAGAAATCCTCTTTCGAGGAGTCTGAAAACTGATATCTGAAGCCTTGAAACAATCGAAAAAGTAATAAATTAGTTGAAAAGAAATAAATAGCTCTTGGGTCAGAAATACAAATAGAATAAAAATCCTAGGTATGCAAGAAAACAAAATCACTAAATATACAGTACGATGTAAGGATGATTTTAAAATGAACCTACCATTAATTTTTTCCGCTTCTTCATCTTCCATGTAGGCTTCATTTTCTACACCACTGACTCGTTCCACAGCCACAGTTTGTTGTTGCTGCGCCACGGCTTTGTTATCCTGTAAGGCCTTCAGTTTACGTGAACCACGTAAACTTGCACGCAGAAATTCATTTTGCTGCGCAATTCGCTCCTCTTCTTCCCTTCGCCTTCGTAACTGTTCCTACAATAAAGAAGAATAAAAACTGTTATATTTCTCTTAAGGATATAAAAATAATGAAATTATGATATAAAAATGTTATAAAAAACAAAATAACAGTACAAAAAAATGTATACATAGTACTATATATTTATATTATCTATATTATATTTGATATATATAAGAACATATGGCTAATATACATTCACATTAAAATAGTTTTTTTTAAATAAATCGATTGTTTTTGGCCGTAATCTTTTACTTATAAATCAAAGATATTAAGAAAAGTTGTTTTGATGACCCACGTTTTTCCATTACAATCTTAATAACCCAATTAACTTCTCCAGAACATACTATAACATATATAAGAATAGATATAAAATGTAGTATATTTTACATCTATGTAATGTTTTGTTTCTCTCAGAATTGTAAAGAACTCAGTATGATACCATTAAAATTGATCGGAGTGACTTTCTACCATTTGCTTTTAACCAGTGTTTCCCGACCCGACTATAAAAATCATAAAAACTTTTAAATTCTTTTTACGTTACTATCCTATTAATATTTATTTAAACTAAACTACTCACGGATCAATATACCTATTGAAACCTTGAACAAACATTTCGGAACATTTTCAATGGTCAAAATTGTTATTAGGTCCCAAAGCTTATTTTAGTTTCTAGGCTTCGACTCTCAAATAAACAGTAACAATGGCATCTTAATGATTTCATTTCTTAGATAATTTAAGTTTAGGAAACAGCTAGAATCAACACAAAGTCATGGCTAAAATGATGCCTTCTTGGTTTAATTTATCATTCACGCTTTTGCGGATGATTCGTTTCCATATGTTATTACAAAAACACTGTTCTTGATTTTCCGATTGATCTCTCCAGAACTCCCAATTCCCAAATCCTCCCAAGTTCCAATATTCAACTTTTTCCATCTGATATTTTGTGACAAATTTTTTGGCAACTTTCTTTTTGTCAAAGATAACGTAATCTTCTTTAATTTTTATTCCACCGTAACTTTCTATAGACTGTTTTGGTCGCTTCCGAGCCTCATTTTTACGTTTATCTTTACTTCTTATTTAAAACACTGTCTTTGATTACCAATTGCAATGTCGGGCATGCCTATGACGTATATCTTAGTTAAATTTTTAACAGCACAAAAAATCCATCAGCCGGAATCTCATACTTAAAATCGATTGATTGTGCTATTCGGTACACCGGTTTTCTTTCGACACATAGCTTGTTCGAAGATTTTTTTAACTCTTCCGATGCTTATTTTTGTTTTGTGATTGATTTTTAATTATGGTATTTGGTTATCGTCTTTAGGGTCCTTTGCAACTATCATGAAGTTAGCCTAATTAATGCCAAATATTTGCGTGGAACAGACATTGATCCTTATACACGTTTTTTAGCATTCCATATGTTTTAATGCCAGTCTCTTTCATTTAAAAAAGAATTTAATTATTGCTTATATGTAGTAGATAATAGATATTGCTGTGCTTAGAGTTTTATTAAAAGAAGTCTTATCGGATCTAAGATAGATTCGTACATTTTTTTGCCATTATTATTATTATGTTAGGAAATTCGCGCTACGACCTAGAGATGTATTGTGATTCCTTTGTCAACTAATAGTATTTCTTTATGTCTAATCTCCACTATAATTTGTTGTATGAAACATACATAAAAGTGTTTGATCTATTCATCCGATAAGAGATATCCATCTACTTCTTATTTCGTGGCATTCTATATGTTTTAATGCCAGTCTCTTTCATTTAAAAAATAATTTAATTATTGCTTATATATAGTAGATAATAGATATTGCTGTGCTTAGAGTTTTATTAAAGGAAGTCTCATCGGATCTGAGATAGATTCGTGATATTTTTTGCCATTATTATTATTATGTGAAGCTATTCGCGGTACTACCTAGAGACCTATTGTAATCCCTTTTCAACTAATAGTATGTCTCCAAGTTTAACCTCCACTTTAATTTGTAGTATGGAACATACATAAAAGAGTTTAATCTATTCATCCGATAAGAGATGTCTATCTACTTCTTTTTTCGTGGCAACCTCCTGTTTTATAAAGAATTATATAAAAGAAAACAGTTTTTTTGCGGAAGTGTAAAATCTCATTAAAACCTATTGGGCGATTCTAATTAAAGCCTAATGAACCTATTGAATAGAATGAAAAACTATTCATCTCTACCATAGAATAACTTAAATCAGTTAAAAATGAAATTTCTTTTTATTTATAATTACTGAAGTAATTTTTATTTTTAACATTTTAAGTATTTGGCACCTTAAGCATTAAAGCATCAAATCATTTAAAACGCTTATCTTAATCTAAATTCATGTTCATTTGTGTTATATTGTACCTCTTCAACCTGGTTTCTACGATTATCGAAAACAACAACAATCGCATTAATTTAATTAGTGCATTCAAAGTAAACTTTTAACCTAACCCACTATCCCCACTCTATCTCTCTATGTAACTATTTAACTGCCCACCCGTAAGCCCACACCTCCAATCATGGGCAACCTACAGAATGGTGTTCCAACGTTTTTTGCCACTTGGAGCAGCTTAACTAAATGATTAAATCATTTGCATTGAATGGCGCTTAAGTGCTGAAATACTTGGAACAGCACAAATGACACAAAATAAATCACAACAATTTGCGACAACAATCCGACAAATGAGGAGGGGCGCATCAAGAATCCAAATCAAAAAAAAAAAACAAAAAAAAAAACCCAAACCATTAAGGCGCCCGCAAGTGGTGAGATACAAACTACATTGTAGTCACATGCGAAGGCATAAATGGTGAAATATTCCAACTATAAAGCATAAACCGATACCATAAATAAAATTGTAGCCACTTGAAGCTGCTGTTTACAAACTGGGAACTGGGAGCCGTGAACCGAAGACGGAGAAGCACTAAGAACTGAGAACTGCAACAAGCAACAATATTTTTACTTAATGATTTTGATTTTTTGTTGTTTTTATTGATATTTTTTGCCACTTAGGAAACCTTTCAAGTGTGATTACGTACAATTCAACCGAATACAAAACGAAGAGGCCAAGAAGCGAGTGCACCAGCAGCACAAGTGCGTCTTAAGGTTAGGAGCGCAAAAGGGTGACTGCGTCTCCCAACAAGTGAAAATCATTATGCAAAGCACAAAAGTGCAGAATACAAGCACTCAATGTAGCACACAAACTCGGTTCAAAAGCAAAAAATCTAAACATGTCAACATATTTTTTAAATATTTTTTCAAAAAGATATTTAAATAATATTTTATTTTTGTATTTCTTATTCTTATATAATAAGTAAATATTTTTTATTTAATTATATTGTTTCATTGATATTTGCTTGCAACTGAAAATTGCTGCCGCGGCAACCTTCACGGTAGCAGTAGCCAATAAAAATGTGTTGACTCCAGAAGTAGTTTTGACCTTTTAGAAATGTTACCGAATTATTTTTTGCAAATTTGTAAATCACATGTCCAACCATATAAAGAAACCATAATGCTGTTACCTTCGTTTTTGTTGTAAAATTTTTAAACAACAAACGAATCAAAAATTATTTTGGATAAAAAATTGTCGGAAATTCCAATAAATATAATGGAATTTATATAATTTACTCAACACCATAGACGGTGATGTGTGACAAAGAATAGAGAGAATTTGGATAAAAATGAGACATACATCCCATTCAAAAATATCCGGAATAATTCCATTAAATATAATAAAATTTTTATTATTTACTCAACATCATAGCCAATGACAAAAAAGTGAGAGTATTTAGATATGAAAGAGACATACCTCCAATCCAAAAATATCCATATGGAGCTATGTCCCATATTTATAAAACATATAAATTTCAGATATTTATAATATATATTTATTCCAGTACGTTCCCAGGGGAACATTGGGTCATAACGAACTTTTTCCAACAGTCACGATTTTTTGCCAGGGTTTTAACTTCTTCAAAAATTTTGCCGCTTGCTTGGATTTCTTTCTCTAGTGCTCGCTTCCACGTTTACTTGGGCCTAGCATGTCTTCTGCTTTCCTGAGAATTCCATGTTAATCCTAGTTTACAGATTTCATTTGATGATTTCATCTGGTGATATTTATAATATAATATATACTAACACGTCAAAAGCTAGAGTGTTTACAATTGTTTACTGCTATTTCAGAATTGCACTTTTTCAAAGCAAATGCAATATACATTTCGTCAAGAAGATATGCTGGGCTATACTTTTATAAAATCATTTGAATAAATTATTATCAAAATTTAAAAAAGCTCTTATTGGACTAGATCATCCAAGTCATCACAGACATTATTGAGTAAAAGTGCTTTACCAAGAAAGAGAAATTATATATCAAAATTTGAACATGCTTTAGTTGGTATCTAAAACGATTAAAAGTTTTTTAACATTGCACCAATAGTCAAAAACCAATGATTAAATTGAATAAATTTCGAAGTTTCGAATAAGTTTCGAAGTGCTTTCCCACTTAATGTACTCTCCAGATGTGGTCCACTTGGGCTGCTGGTTTTTTGCAGACTTGATGTCTGCTCTAGGATAAAAAAAATGGGACAAATGAAATACTGAAAACCGAAGTTGAGATGCTCCAGAGAAAGAATTTTGGTTCAAAAGAAAAAATGATAGCCTAAATTATGATACTTCAGGAAAAGAAATTTAATGCCTATGAAAAAGTAAGAAAATGATTACCGAAATTGAGATCTATATTGAGAGAAAGAACAAAAGTTCCTACTTACTCTTGCTGGAGAATATGTTGACCAACAACGTCCAGTTTCTAAGTAAAATTTTGTTTCTTAGATCGGGAACTTATTAAGCCACGATGTATTATATGGTTAATCGAAATATTTTTCTATTTTTCTATTAAAAAGTCGAAACTTATGTAAAATTTTTTCTCCGTTAATTTTGGATTTTAAAGATTCACATTACTCGGTAGACCACAATGCTGATATCACTAAGAGACTAAAATTACTAAGTTCGA